GGGGTGTGTGGGGGGGAGGGATGAAATATCGAGACCACTAAATTTTTCCAAAAAGTTTCGCAGAAGGATCGGACTGCGAATACAGATTTCATATTTCCTGGGAATCAGCTGGCCCAGCCATTGGCCAAATAGGGAGACGTTTTGGAAGGTATTTAATCTTCTTTGTTTAATATATCTGTATCTATCTATCTTTCTGTCTGCTTGTTTGCCTATCTATCCATCTATCTGTGTATATATATATATATATATATATATATATATATATATATATATATATATATATATATATATATATATATATACATATATATTTATCTATCTGCCTATCCCCGTGTGTGTGTGTGTGCGGGCGTGTGTGTGTGTGTGTGTGTGTGTGTGTGTGTGTGTGTGTGTGTGTGTGTGTGTGAGAGAGAGAGAGAGAGAGAGAGAGAGAGAGAGAGAGAGAGAGAGAGAGAGAGAGAGAGAGAGAGAGAGAGAGAATCAGACAGACAGACAATAAATGAACTGACAAACGAAACGACAAACAGACTAGCAAAGTGGAAAGAAAGAGGGAGAAAAAAATCTAATCTGAAATGAAATAAAACCTTTATCGCACGATCTTCGAAAAAGTCGTGAAAGATACTGGTCATGATTTTGTGGCCATTTTGCCTCAAGTAATTCATTTCTTTATAAAGGGTGTTCTGTTCTTGCCAAAAAGTCTTGTTCTAAAATACGCTTGACAAGATACGATTGAAACGGAGACAAAAAGACGAGACGGATGAAAAATTGGTAAAAATGGGTAGGTAGAAATAGAGAGAGAGAGAAGGGGAGAGATAGATAGATAGATTTTTTATGCCTTGGATAGAAAAAGGGGAGGGGATATATGTAGATAAAAAGTGGGGGAAGGGAGAAATTGAGAGAAAGAGAGAGAGAGAGAGAGAGAGAGAGAGAGAGAGGGGGGGGGGGGTGAGAGAGAGACAGACACACAGACAAATAAACAGAGACAGACAGACAGACATACAAAAAGAGAAACAGAAATTAAAAAAGGAGAGAGGCAAAGAGGGGGAGGGAGGGGGGAGAGGAAAGTATTAGAACCCCCCCCCCACCCCACCCCAAACTTCTCTCTTCTTCTTACAAAGTTTTCTCGTGATCCGGAAACTGCCCTCCGTCAGAATATGAAGAGAAAAAAAAATGTTTTCACTTTGCTCATAAACTCTCAAAATTACTTCGAATTTGCGAGCGTTCTCATATGCCAAGATGCCGGTCGGTGGATCGAAGGAAGGGCCTGGTTAGCCTTGCCTCTCCTCAGGCTCATCTCCATTCGTGTTTTCCCTGGATAATATAGTGTTACTATGGGGAAAAAAAGGAAAAAAGTGTATATGTCTCTCCTCTCTCTCTCTTATATATATATATATATATATATATATATATATATATATATATATATATATATATATATATATATATATGTGTGTGTGTGTGTGTGTGTGTGTGTGTATATACATACATATACATATGTATATATACATACATACGTACATATATAAGTGTGTGTATGTATGGATGTATATGTATATACTCGTGTATATATATGTATATATATATCTATCATATAGATATATATACATACATATATGTGTATGTGTATATATATGCATATGTATATATATATATATATATATATATATATATATATATATATATATATATATATATATATATATTGTGTGTGTGTGTGAGTGCATGTGTGTGTGTGCTATCGATTGGATTCATCAAGATCTTTTTAATAGTTTAAAAATGACTAATTCTCGTAAAAATCATTGCGTGGAAATCCTTACCTTTTATAGTTTAATGAAAACTACGTGTTATTTACAGAGCTTTCAAATCATTTGCTACTCAATCAAATATATGACGTTTCTGTGCATAATTTAATTTGTATATATATGTATATATATATATATATATATATATATATATATATATATATATATATATATATATATGATTTATATATATACATACATGTGAGTGTAAATATACATGTTTTTATGTATGTATACGTATACACATATGCATATGTATACATACTTATCACAGCACACACACACACATATGTGTGTGTGTATAATTATATATACATATATATATATATATATATATATATATATATATATATATATATATATATATATATACATATATATATATATATATATATATATATATATACATATATATATATATATATATATATATATATATATATATATATATATATATATATATAATGTCTGTGTGTGCGTGCACATGTGTATGCGCGCGAGTGCGTGTTTCGGCGGGAGTGCGTGCGTTTGTCCGTCTGCCTCTCCGCGATTCGAAAGCAACGACGCCAATTTGCAAGAGTAACAACTTAACAAGTGCACAACGTCTCTCGTTAAGCAATTACAGCTTCGCTCTTCAGACTAACCGAAACCCCATTCAGAAAACCTCGTCGCCCGCCAGGATAAACGACATCAGAGGCCTCGGGCAATCATCAATGACCTTCTTTGACCCAATTCGATATTACGAAGTCCCCATTTAAAAGGACAGCGACAGAAATAACACTAGAGGCCGAACGCGACGAAGCGACGGCCATTTAAACTTCCGCCGCTGTGACGTCACTCCCAAAACATCTCGCGGATTCTCGGGCTTCGCGAGATATTTACTTTGTCCGATCTCCCTTCCGAGTTGGGAATCGTCTGCTTTGAACCTTTCGAGTTTATGGACTATATCCTTGGTTCAAGCGTAAATGAGAAGGAAATTATACATATTTAGTGAAAAAATATCGACTGTGATAAGTTTTAAGACCTAGTGATAGTGATATTGTCAGATGTAAACACCCTTTTCGGGAGGTCGGCCGCGCATCCGAACACGGGGCTCAGTGGGTGACAATGGCACAATGGCTTCCCGGAGGTCTGCCTTGGCCTCGCAAACCGAAATCTCCGGGAACGACCCTCTCCGCGAGCTGTTCGAGGCCTGCCGGAATGGAGACCTAGTGCGGGTGAAGAAGCTCGTCAATCCGCCAAATGTGAACGCCAGAGACACGGCAGGGAGGAAGTCTTCGCCCTTGCACTTCGCAGCAGGTCCGTTCTGGGGGTCCTCGGGTCTCGCCTTGCCGTGCACACCTTGGCTGTTTTACGTACTTTCACCCGCTTTGCCGTGCCCGTAAGGAGGTGCCGGGGCGATTTTCCGGTCGGGGAGGGCGCGGGGGTTCGTGTCATGTGAAAGAATAAGGGATAGGAGGGATATTAAGGGAGATAAAGGGAGGTAAATAAGGGGGGGCCTAGGTTGATGGCCTCGAGAAAAGGGGAGGTAAATAAGGGGGGGCCTAGGTTGATGGCCTCTTGTTTTGGGCTTCCATGTTTTGTGTCCCGTTCTTGGCACTCGGGGCTCAGAGGCTCAGGGGCATGGGAGGCCTGTTTTCTGCTTGTCTTTTCTCTCTCCTTGGCTGGTTTGGGTATTTGCCTTCAACAGCTCTTTTGTTAGATTTCGTGTCTTCTGAACATCTCTTCTGTTTTTTTATGTTCACTGTTCAATTATTTTATTTTCTTGTTACTAAGTTTATTATGTTTTTCCTCTGTAGGTTTTATTTATCTGTTCTTTTTCTTTCATTTTCCTTTCTTGTCTTGTTCCCTTCAGGTAGCACTTCTTGTTGTCTGTGTTCTTCCTTTATTTTTGTTTTTCTTTGTTGTATAGTAGCTTGTTCTTCCCCCCCCCCCCACTTCCCCATAATAGCAGGTAGCAGGTTATACAATTTGATTATTTCACTGTAAGATGTGTGTTTTGATTATGAGATTGTATATGACACTGTTGTTATTATGTACATGTTGACATATCTTTGATGCGTCTTTGTGCTATGAAAAGGAACAAGGGAAGGAGGACAAAAAGTGCATTTTCGTAAAAGACAAAAGAATGGATGTTGGTTCAAATAGCCACTAGAGGCCTACACAAAAAGTAATTGGAAGATTTAACACAGTCCCATTGCTTGCCTTTTTGATATCTTTCTCGTGATTCATGGCCTGTTTTGAAATGATATCCTATTTCAGGGGACATTTTTAAGTATCAGATTAAATGAAAGATTCACTGATTATTTAGAAGACCTGTAACTTTCAAAACACTTCATTTTTCACAAATATCTACTTGAAACTTGCTCTGACCTTTGAAGGATAGCCTACAGCATGAAGTCCAACACAATAAGGGCACAGTGTGGAATGATCACGGCACTTTGACAATGGCCGCAAACCTCCACCATTTAATGTTTAGGAAGGGAGAGTGCGGACTTGAAGTAAATCACCAAAAAGGTCTATAACTCCTGGGCTTGATAGAATTCGTGGCAGAAGCTTGTTGGCTTTTGCCAGAGCACCGAACTGATTGAGGCAAGGCCAGTATAGATACATATGAGTCATTTAAATATTTACCCAGGTTTTAAAAGAAGATTTTAGTTAGTAATGGCGAAGGTTCTGTTGACCGAGTTTTAGATTTGAATTGGCCACCTGCCTAATATCCTATTAGGCAGGATATTTATGGTATGTGACTTGCATCACAAAGGTTGCCAGTATTTTTATATTTGGTTTTATCATATTTCTGTTATATGGATAGACATGAAGTACATTACTTTACATTTATATAGAGAGGCTTAACTCTTTCTGAAAAGTTTCCATAGAAACATAAAACAGCAGAAAAAAACAACAACACAAAAGAGTTTTATTATACAACTACCTCTGAGCAACTGTTTTGTATGCAAGATATCAGTAATTACTGACAGTAGTATGATGTATCTTATGATGAATGTTTTATACTTACTTATAGTATGGCTAGCTGTCTCACCCTAGATTCTTTTTCTGCTGCAATAAAAAAAAAAAAAAATATTTGGTTTATTTTTATATTTACAGTCTGTGATATCTTATCAGTAATGTATCTGTATAAGACCTACTTCCTTCCATGTCTATTTACCACATATATCTTATCACTTGATATAGCTAATGGTCAAGATAAAAATTTGGCTTCTCCAGTGTTCAGGTATCAGTTGAAAGTGTTCTGTAGAAGGAACAAGTGTCATTAAATCTATTCTACCTTTAGTTATATAGGTTGGAGGACTGTCTGTCTGTATTTATAATCTGTAATTAGCTCAGTCCCTTGGCCTTGATATTCAACTCCTTATGAAACCGCCTTTCTTACTAGGAGAACATTTTTACAATTTTGCTAAATCATTCACAGAATAGAAATAGAAAAGACATATTTCATTTAATATAATGAAATAATCTCTAGTGTTTCTGTCACACACAGCCTATTCTTTCCCTATTGTAAAGTTGGGAACAGGCTACCTATAAAAGGAATAAGAACTGCACTTCTCAGCAGAGCATGAATGTTGGTATTTTTGCTTCTTTTGACATTTGGGTATGGTATGCACCTCCTTACACACTATTTAGCTATTTTTTGCATCAATAGTTATATGGCATTTTGGCAAAGGATGGAGTTTCTCTCTCCTACCAACTAGAATGTGAATTACTGAAACCATGATTTTCTGCCTTGTAAATCACAGGTTTTATTTACATTAAATATTACTGAAAGGTGAGAAAAGATGATACAAAGATAAGTCTATCGCTTGCAGGTGGATTTACGTCTATAAAGGAAAATCATGTCCATATACATAGACTGTGAAATATTTACATTATTCTTATCTTCAAGTAGCATCAGTTTTAAAAGACCCAGAAGGAGGCAGAAGACTAATCCCCAAGTCTCTCTCTCTCTCTCCTCTATCAGGTTTTGGTCGGAGAGATGTGGTGGAGCATTTGCTGAATCTCGGAGCGGCCGTCGGAGCGCGTGACGACGGTGGACTAATTCCCCTCCACAACGCCTGTTCCTTCGGTCACGCGGAGGTTGTTTCACTGCTGCTCAAGCACGGGGCCGACCCCAACGCACGCGACAACTGGAACTACACGCCCCTCCACGAAGCTGCTTCCAAGTCCAAGTTTGATGTTTGCATAGGTGGGACATTGGTGGGGCATTGTTTTGCATGGGGAAAGGCTTTGACAAGGTCTCCCTTTATTCTCCAGAGTCAGATTCTGTGGTGGTTGGATGTCATGCTTGGGTAACAATACAAATTAGGTGATGATAATATATCTCTATTCTATAGAGGTGTAATTCCTTTTTATAACTGTTTTTTCTGTAATTTTCATTTACATAAACCATAAAAGTAGTAAGTTATTGATTATTATTATCTGGAATAAATTCAGTGTCCAGTTATCAAAGACCCCACAATTAATCACATATTTCAGATCTGAAAATGAAGACATTAATTGTCTAGTAAATAGTGTTTTTGTTGAGGATGTAGGCAAGTCATTTCTATATAGAATATAAGTTATTAAACTTTTGCATTCCAGTTCTTCTTCAAAACGGAGCGGATCCAAGCATCCGCAACACAGACGGCAAGACGGCGCTGGATTTGGCAGATACCTATGCTCGCTCTGTGCTCACAGGTTAGTCAAGAGGGTACAAAAAGGTAGTTATTATAGTATATACAACTAATGGAGATGGTCACAGAAGGATATGACTATATATAGTAAGAGTGATATTATATGAGTAATTCCCAAACTTGTATAGTTGCAGTTCATGGGAATTCTAAGAAAGAATCTTGCTTGTTGATATTTTGATAAAAGCTTACATGTCCTTTTCCTCTCCAGGGGAGTACAAAAAAGAGGAGCTGCTCGAGGCCGCCAGAGCAGGCAACGAAGAGCGTCTGCTGGCCCTTCTGACTCCCCTCAACGTCAACTGCCATGCCTCAGATGGCCGTAAGTCCACCCCTTTGCATCTGGCAGCGGGCTACAATCGCACGGAGATTGTAACAATACTGCTTCAGCATGGAGCGGATGTCCACGCAAAGGACAAAGGGTGAGGCTATGTCGGACAGAATAGAGTAAGGGATTTCATCAAAACCTTTTAGCTGTCTCTCTCTCTCTGTCTCTCTCTGTCTCTGTTCTGTTTCTTATTCTTCCTTTCTTGTAGGAGGCCATCAGAATAGTTTTGTTTCCAAGTCAGTTTTCTTTTCCTCTTTTTTTTTTTCTGATGGTTTGAACATAAACCTCAGGAACTACCAACATTTTTGGAAATATCTTTACCTATAGTTTTATATGCCTATACTATATCTTTGACTTTAAAAAAAAAGAGAAAATAAGAAGGTAACATACTTCTGTCCCTTTCATGTCAATACCACATAAGAAGTCAGAGGTATGTTTTCCATCTCAGAAATCTGCTGATATTTGGCTAATTCCAGTCACTGCTAATTTCAGTCATATGCATCATGTTTATCGGTAACTGGACTAGCTCACTTTAATGTTTTAGGCTATTAAATACTGACTTGTGTTGCCTCAGGGTAACTATTCAGAACCAGTACCTATAGTTTGTGATAACCTCTAAAATATTGCATTCTGGGTAATTACCTTAATGTTGTCTTCAGTGCAAATATTATAGTCTCTTTACCTTTGGACGAGAGTGCAGATTGTCTTTTTTCTTCACTGGCAGTCAACGGTTAATGCTTAGTGCTACATCTTATTTACTTTGGTGTATATTTTTTAACTTTTTTTTATTTTTTTATTAGGACTTCTGCTTTTGTTACCCTCAGTAACACTCAGTTGTCAAAGTTTGAGAAACCTTACTTCATTCTTTACCATGACTAATATAAATATCGTCTCCCACACTCCCAGTGGCCTGGTTCCTCTCCACAATGCCTGTTCCTATGGCCACTTTGAGGTGACGGAACTTCTCATCAAGCATGGGGCCAACGTGAATGCCATGGACCTGTGGCAGTTCACGCCCCTGCACGAAGCTGCCTCAAAGTCACGGGTGGAGGTAAGTCCTTGGTCCTCTTCCTGTCCCTGCAAAAAAAATGAAAATAAAAATAAAAATAAGAGTTTGGTTACCCAGACAGAACTGAGTGTGGTTTGTTGTGTGTTATGCTAGGATACAGATGTTTCTGAGTTGTGAGAGTTATTCAACTGACAGTGCAGGAAATAAACATGTTTATTTTGACAAGCTTCTGTAATTTCTCTTATTTTCTCCATCAGGTGTGCTCCCTCCTCCTGGCCCACGGTGCTGATCCTACACTGCTCAATTGCCACTCCAAGTCTGCTATTGATGTTGCCCCCACCAGGGAGCTCCAAGAAAGACTCTCCTGTGAGTTCCACTTATATCAGGACAAAATTCCAGTGCCATATGCTCTAGATAAGTCCAGATTTGTGTATTAGTTTACCTCATCTTCTTCTTCTTCTTCTTCTTCTTTTTTATTTTTTGATTTGATTATTTCAGATGAGTATAAGGGCCACAGTCTGTTGGAAGCGTGTCGGCAAGCTGATTCCACAAGGCTAAAAAAGTTACTCTCGGCAGATGTTGTCAATTTTAAGCACCCGTACACAGGAGATACTCCCCTTGTAAGTCTTTATATGACCCTGTCTATTAGAAGTTTTGTTGAGATAAATATTGACTTTTGTTTTTTGCTGTTAGTACTGTAGGAAGTATTATAATATGTATTTGTATATAGATATGAAATGGATCATTAAATATTGTTAAAAGAGCTATTCCTTGCTATAATAACTTTAGTTCTAGCTTATGACCCAGTCTTATTGCAAACTGAAATGCTGGCCAGTGCATATTATAAAACAGAAGTAAAAGGCATACAAGAAATAAATCATTGAAAGAAGGGATATGGGAGAAGTCATTGAGATACTTAGAGTAGCCTTCATAGTTGAAACTGAACTGCTGTTGAACATCTTACAGCACTGTGCGGTGAGTTCAAGCAGCGGCAAAAGACGTGGGGTGGTGGAGGCGCTGCTGAGGAAGGGCGCACCACTTCAGGAGAAGAACAAGGACTTCCTCACCCCACTCCACTTATCTGCCGACAAGGGACATTATGATATAATGGAACTCTTACTCAAGCATGGGTCCAAGGTCAACGCACTAGACAGCTTAGGTCAAACCGGTGTGTAGATTTTCTCCTGGCATGTATTTGATGATGAGGAGGTTGCGAGATCATTATCTGTAGAGATTAAATGTTGGTTAACATACTTTTTTTATGCTGGGAATATATATGTTGTAAAAATTGCAAGTTCTGATAATATTGAAGAGGAAATTTGCACTTTTAGTGTTATTTCACACTCAGTGATCTCTTTTATTATGTATTGAGGCATCTTTGTATTTTCATATATCACCGATGTGTATTATGCTGTCTCATGATTTTCTTACTCCTTTTACTCAGCTCTACATCGAGCTGGTAGAGACGGGGATGTTCAGGCGTGTCGGGTATTGCTACAGTATGGTGTTGACCCCACAATCATCTCACTTCAAGGTTACACTGCCACACAACTTGCAACAGAACCTGTGCAAAGGCTACTCCATGGTAAGACACTTTTGAGTATGGTTTTTATTTTAGTTAGGGGGGGAGGGATTTGAAATCAACATTAATGACCAAATTTCATTTAACACACCTTGATTTTGAGAATTGATCTGTGATTGGACATTTTGCTTTGCCCATGGTGAAACTGTGAACTCCAGACACAAATTATGAAAATATGTCTACCTAAACATAGCCTCCTCACAAATTAATTCTCCACCTCTAAAAGCACTTCAGCCTCTAAAGAGAGACTCTCGCCCTGCAGAAGACCCACCTGGGCCAGGTGTGGACAGTGAGCAGCAGCTTCTCGAGGCCTCAAAGTCCGGCGACATTGAGTGTGTCCGGCGCATCCTCACTGCTCAGCCTTACCTGGTCAATGTGAGAGACCTAGATGGAAGACATTCCACACCCCTCCACTTCGCTGCAGGCTATAACCGCGTCCCAATTGTGGAGTACTTGTTGCAACATGGGGCGGATGTTCATGCTAAAGATAAAGGGTGAGTGAAGCATTTGCATGTCGGGGGTAGGGGGTGGGGGGTGTACATGCTCGTGGGAATGGGCATGTTTATTTGTTTGATTGAAGGGAAGATGTGTATG